AAAAAAAAAAAGGACAAAGGGAAGTCAATGGGTAGGTATCACACAGGTGCATATAAGGGCCTCCAGGCTCCTGCTGACACACAGAAGGGGAAATGGACTGCTCAGTTCTCCAGACCTCATCCATGCAGGGTCAAAAGAGAGAGCATGAAGCAGAGTCCCTGACACATGAACACAATCATAGACAGGAATCTGCACATTCTCCCTCCTCCTCTTACTTCCCATCTTACACTTCTGTAGGCAAAGCATGACATCTCACAAGGTCTCGGTTTCCTCATTAAGCAGATGGGAACAATAGCCCTCATCCTAGTAGGCATCCAGTGAAACAATGTAGGACTACAGAGCTTCTAATTTTGCCTCTGCCACAGCAGCAATTATATTTTGGGTTTCTACCATGGGTTTCATTTGGTGAAAGGATTTTGGTGCTGGAATATTCCCAGCATTCCTCTTCCTCAATGGTTTGCCCAGGTCTACGTAGTTGCCACTGGATTCAGTCCCAGGCTGGCCAGTCAAGAGCAGAAGAGCAGGGAAGTCCTGCATTCCCCCAGATGGGAAGGAGAGGGCTCACTGTGTACCAAAAGTTGCTAGCACTGACCATAAGGTTGAGACAAAAGAAATGCAACTGACCTGCCTCCTCTCATCAGGGGCCTTCAGGAAAAGGGCATTGATCACTGCAATAGTATATGTCTGGATTTCTTGATCTGTCCTGTAAAGACAAAGAACAATACAGAAAAAGTCAGAAGAGTCAGATCACATTATAGCTATGTGTACATGAGTATACGATATGTTATTTCCTGCGCAATACATAAAGTATATCTGGAGGCAGTCTTACGTGTCCCTGAATTCCTATGTGAATTATAATACAAACTGCTTTGTTTCTAGGGCAGTGATATTACATATTCTAAAAATCTTCCTTCAAATAAAAATGTTTAATAAGAAGAGCAGGTATTTATACAAATTTGACTTACTAGAGTGAAATCAGCAATTCCATATGAAGCCAAGATCTCATGTAAGTGGCATGTAAACAGTAAATAAGGACCCAAGATATAAGCAAAGAGACACCCATATGGTACAGTGAAAGCTAATTTCGGTAGCAGCAGATCTCAAAATATGGCCTTTGGCAGGATGAGAATCCCTAGCGGGCTGTGTGGCCTAGGCCAAGTTCATGGGCTGACCCTAAGATAGTTCTCTCCTCTGTAGTACCAAGTAAGAACACACTTATTTTAAGGAATGCTTTTACAATAAAATTAAGTGAGGTATATAAAATCCCTGCACAGCATTTGACAAATGATAAGCTTTCCACTCCTGCAAACATGTGAATGCACATGTGCCCTTGAGATTCAGAGGAAAAAAAAAATACAGATTATCTAACGTTAGTATGTTTCACACTTTGGGAAACTTATACTATTTCTAAGTGGTTTCATACAAGCCATCACTCCAGAGCATTTACTATTTTTCCATGAGGTCGGTCACAATCCATACTTTCTGGTGGGACTTTATGATTTTACTTTCTGGTCACAGGGCCCCCTCCAAATGAAGGAAACACCTAAGGCACTTTCGAAGCTCAAATTATTTTCACACAACTGTTAACACTTTCTATTTTTTAGAACTACCAAATAGCCTCACAAAATGACCCTGCACTGGCCCTCCCTAGTGGAGCAGCGGGTTAAAGCACAGCACTGAGAATCTAAAGCCGCTTCCACATGAGTTCGATTACCGCCTGCCCCGGAGGTGACCACATGGCGTGGCAGACCTCTCCTGACCCGCCCGCTGCTCCCCTCAGCAGTGTACTTCGTCGATCTGCCTGTTCTGCTCCCCACTCTGTCTCTGGTGAACTCTCTCACCCTCCGCATCTCTGGCCTGTACCCCAGTTCTGTATGAATAAATAAATCTTTAAAAAAAAAAATGACCCTGCACTACCAATCCAACCTACCCAATCAGGCATCCTCCTCGTCCTGTATAAGCTAGCTCAGGTGTTTGTTCCCTCCTTCAACCCCCAATACTTTCATATATTTAAGTAGGGTTGTAAAAAACATTTCTTCTTAGTCTGGTGGCAGAGATACTTTACAAAGTGCCCATGGTGGAGAAAGGGAGAAGCCCCTAAGAACTGCAAGGCTGCTAGGCCTTGTCTTACAGTTTAAGCCTCCTGAAAAGACACACTGCACATTATAACATAGAAAAAAGGTCTTCACAGTCACCTTGAACCTAAAAAAGAAACTTACTTTAAAAATTCCTAATCAACTATGAAAGTACTTGCTTAATTATAGAAAATACTGTTTTATATGATTGAGGAAAGACTTTGTCAAAAAATTAAAGAACAAATTGCCCTATCACATCTCATTAAAAGAAAATCTTTCTGCTATTTACCAATATAGTTAAAACTTAGAGCCTATTAAGCATCAGGCATTGGAACAGAACAGTGTGAACAACAGACGTGGAACTCACCCAGGGCAAGTAACCCTGATATGCCAGTGTGATGGGGGATAAGCATGGTACATGGTGTCATATACCCCACCTCATGATTCACTTTCTTGTTATTTAATCAATCTAATACAAATCTTTCCCGAGGTGTCATGGTGGCTGTCCTGAAGCTTTTCCCCTTGTCCCAGAGGTAACAGCTTGCTTACCCTTGAAGATGTGGAATGAGCTGGCCGATGGTGATCTCCTGCGCCACCTTCTGGTAGAGGTCATGGCTATTGAGCACCATCGACTCCAAAATGGCCAAGGATCGTTGCAGGATTGAGATATCAATGGCTGACTTGATCACAAAACTTGCTATCTGAAAACCCAAGTGAGACACAAGTGACCACTTAGTGGCAAACAGAGCAGAAAAATGGACAAGAAAGCAAATCAAGTAAATAGAGTCATAATTTAGGATGCACCAGATGGGATCTCCCTGGTGGT